GGCCGGTAATACACTGGGAAAACGGGACTGCCAAAACGGGACTTATAGTTAAAGTAAGTCCAGACTAGCGATTTCACGTCAAGCCGACGCCATCAGGCCCTTGGCTTATCTAAAGTAGGTCATGGTCCATGGGTTAAGACGGTCCTGCGTCACCTACTTTTTTTCTTTCTAGGTCACCGGGTAAAGGAGTTTATTACCATAATACATTTTAGTGTCTAAAACTGAAATCTAATAATGTCTACATATATAAATATAAGTATATGTTATGTTCTTCAGTTAACGTATTTAATTTAACAGACATCAAGATTGTAACTGACTCAGAAACATGCTGAGGAAGGTGAGGACAGGAACGCCTCGTGGATAGTGGCATGCTTTGCTCCGGAGGTCACGGGTGATGAGCTGAGCACTGTGTGGATCTTCTCTCCGGAAAAGTCGTTATGCTGGGAAAGAAACAGCTGGACAGATTGGCTGGCTCTGTGCAACTTGATGGAATATTGATGCGTGATTTAGGCCTTTTGGGAGCATTTGTATAATTCGGAAGAGCAAATTGCTCATCTCAGTCTGGTGAGAGAACTTTTATAGTGAACTCTGGTGTGCGTCAGGGCTGTGTACTATCGCCGCTCCTTTTTATAACATACATGGATACCATATGTAGTGAAACGAACTTTAATCATGAAGAAGATATTACAGAATTACTTTTCGCCGACGACCAGGTACTCATAGCAGAAAATAAGGAATGCCTAAAGATACATCTAAATCAAATTAGTAACAAAGGGGAAGAATATAATATGAAAATAAACACCACGAAGACAAGAGACAATTATGATAGGAAGACATAATGACAATTTAGAAATTAAATTAAAAAACAACACCCTGAGACAAACAGAGGAATTTAAGTATTTGGGAGCAATTTTTACATCAGACGGAAAACTGGACAGAGAAATTAGCTCCAGATGTGCCAAAGCTAATCAAGTAATGGGTCAACTATCTCCCCTGTTGACACACAAGCAGATACCTCAGAGTACTAAAGCAGATCTTATCAGAACAATTTTTTGGCCAACACTATGCTATCAATGCCAAACGTGGACACTTACATCCTCCAATGAACGTAAAATTGTGACAACAGAGATGAAATGCCTTAGAAGAGCTGCAGAAGTTTCAAGGAAAGACAGAATACGAAATCATGAAATCAGACGAAGGCTAGGAATAAAGCCAATCTTACATGTCATCAAAGAACAACAAATGAAGTGGTTTGGACACCTAACAAGAATGCAACAGCGAGCCACACTAGAACGTTTCAACGGGTATAGAGCGAATGGAAGACCTCGGAAAATATGGAGTGATGGCATTAAGAACAGCCTTACAGGAATGAACATCAGTCAATAGTGCTCTTGGCAGAGCTTATCAACGAACATTACATCTCCCCCGACACTTCGATGAGGTAAAAGGTGGAAGAGAAGAAGTCTGGTGAGAGTAATGCAGTCCTTTGTTTCTTTATTGTGATCGATTTTGTAAAGCTGACATAAACTATTTATTCTTTCTTACCCCCTTTTTATCTTCCCTATAATTTCCTTCCCTTTTAAAAGAGAAAGAGAGAGAGAGAGAGAGAGAGAGAGAGAGAGAGAGAGGGAGAGAGAGAGAGAGAGAAGGCACGTCGGACGAATAATCAGACTTCGGCACTTCTCCGAATAACGGCCTCAAATTATCTAGGTCAAAAACCTACCCTTACAGGGCCTCTATGATATGTAAATTTCACGTCCGACTTGAACTATTAAATGTGGTCAATTTAAATTCTGGAAATTACTTTTTAGTTATGTTAGATGCCCTACTGAGGCCCTGTAAGGGTAGGTTATCGACCTAGAACATCAGACTTCTACTGGTACCATTGGTATTGGAGCTCTGCACTGACTGCTGATGAAGAGGACGGAATGCTATAATGTCGTTTCTTGAATCCGCTCTACTCAGCTCATTCTCTAGTTCATTCTTCCATTTTTTATAATACAGGAATTTTTTTTAAAGTATCGATGGGGCGGCCGGGACACACCTAAAAAATAAAAAACATGTCTCGGTGAAAAGGGGAAGTATGGTTACCCTGCCTGAAAAAGATCACATGACTGTATTTGAGAGAATGGGTAATTTTTTAATAATAAACATGTAGCAGGTCCTTTGCAGAACGTCGCTCTCATCACAGTCTGCCTGAAAGAAACTCGGTCTCTCGCCTCATGTACTTTCATACTCAAGGAGTCACTTATATCCTGTGCCCATCTTCGTGTCGGTCGGCCCGTGCTCCTCCTTCCTGGTACCATGCCTTCTGCAGTAATTTTTTCCAATCCGTCGTGGTCGTGGTGCTTGATATGACCAAAATATTTCAGCTTCCGAGAAAGGATGATGTTTATTAGCCAATCTTCCTTGATGTTCAAATATTTTAAGATGTCAATATTTCTCCTCTTCTTTGTCCAAGATATTTTAGAATCTGTCTATAGCATTTCAGCTCAAAAGCCTCTATTCTCTTTCTTAAGGACCGAGAGATAGTCCACGACTCACATCCGTATGTAGCCACAGGAAAGATGCATGTTCTCAAAATTCTAATTTTTATCTCTTTGTTAGTGCTTAACCATAGACTTTTAAGGCTGTTCAATCTTTGCATTGCTATGGCCATTCTCCTTTTAATTTCTGTCGAACAGTCTCCATTGCTGTTTATTACACAACCTAGATATTCAAAGTTTGTGACATTTTCAATCTCTTCATTATTTATTTTTATTTTTGGGTGACAGCCAGTTTTTTTCTGTGGACATTATTTTCGTTTTCTTTAAATTCAAAAACAGATTTTGATCTTCACTGTGCTTTTGGACAGACAATATTAAATTTTCTATTCCCGTTACGCTGTTCGAAATGAGGACTGTGTCATCTGCGTGGCGGAGTTCCGGAATAGGGTTGCGACCAATTTTGAGTGGATCATAACTGTCACAAGTCTGGTCATTTTCTCATTATATTTTCTACGTATATATTGAATAGGTATTGTGAGAGAATGAACTCCTGCCCCACCCCTTTTTGCACCTCGAACCAATCAAATGTTTCACCAGCTGCTCTGATGGCTGCTTGTTGTTCATTATGAAGATTTTCAATTAAATGCACTAAATGCGCTGGAAACCCCACACTTTTCATAAGAGTCCACAGTTTGTGCAGTTGAACACAATCAAATACCTTGATATAATCAATAAAACAAGCAAAACGATCTACGTTGTATTCTTTGCATTTTTCAAAAATTTTTGTCATATAAATTTTGTACATGAATAAATATAGATTTTTACAACCCCCCCCCCCCCCCCCCCCCCCCCCCAAAAAAAAAAAATCGCGCGAAAAAACCCTGATACATTTTTAAACACAAATTAATATAAAAACCGGTCTTGTTTTTGAGGAAAGCTCGATAGTTTGCAATTGAATTTCAACGATATTTGAAATATGGCGACAAAATGTCTGTCGTTGTCATTCCAGGGATAAGTTTGAATTTATGTTATCAAGTCCATCGTTTAACACCAGTGTTCTCCCGTCAGTGGTGTGAACTGGGTTGTTTCATTGGGTCCTTGCTTGCACGTGTACATTATAGTGCAGATCGCTTACGCTGATCTCGGATGTGGCGAATGTATGGTGTGAAGAACAATCAGCGTATCTCTGGTAATTGTTTTAGCTTGAATAAGAGGAATTATGATAAGAATCATTTCTTGGGTCCCCGGTCAGTTCTTCTTATCAGGTCTGCACTGGACTGTCGCGACAAGTCTAAGATTGGAGTATCTGTTGACTTTCTAGCCATATGTCTGCTCTGTGCAGCTATAAAAGTGATGACTGTGATTATTCTCTTGGTTAACACAAAGATCTGCATTGTTCTTGTATCTTGTGCTATTTCATAGGACGTAGCTATCATGTCTTCGTTTTACTGTCTCTCACTTCTTGGTATATTCCATGCAGTACGACCATAGTGGTCAACTTTATCCACAGCCTCTTGTCGACTCGATTTTAAGTACTTTTTGACACATTTGATCTGTAATGCCACGATGTCAAAATGTTCAGTATCTTTTCTGTTGGCCTCCTTGCGTACCTTTCCCTTAACTTTGTCATAGCCATATATTTATATATATATAATGACTTGTAAACAGATAAATAAAACAAGTTACTAGAGACACCATCAGAAGTTGAGTTGAGCCAAGAACTTACATCATAGCACTCAGGGCATTATTATGCGTGCTCCGTCCTTATCTTCTGCAGCCAGCACATTCCAATACTGATGGTACCTCTCACAATCTGGTTATATGTCCGTCTTGCTAGAGACACCATCATATGGACACGTAACTCAAGATCCGACATCAAGCCGTTAATTAACGAAATATTGATCTTTTTTATATTTATCCATATCTCTCTCCGTGCTTCTCCGTCGCTAGAGTAAACTCAAAAATAAAATAAAAATTCCGCAGCTTTAAGGGTAACCCCTAAAGAAGTAAATTGGATGATGTGAACGGCGTAACCGGCAGAAAATATCACAGACCCCAATGTTCTTTGTTTTTGTGACAGGAAAAAGGTGCCCTTCGCATGCGCACCTTTCGCGCATGTGACTTCAACAGCCAATCAAATAGCCAAAATGTCTGACGCCGCCAAGCTCGTAATACTTTAGACATGGAAAATAAAACCCTTTACTGTGTATAAACAATATTTGATTTGTTAGTAGCGAATAAAGGCGTGGAGATTTATAACAGCAGCATGGAGGAATAATACATCTCGCTGGATAATAGTTTTTAGTAGGAATTTAAATAGAATAAAAGTGTTTCGTACAAGGAAAGAGTCAACCGGACGCCATTTTTTGATGCCCTATTTACAGAATATTACCTGCTGATTTATTGACTGAAAACGATTATTACCATCACTTGTTTTAATGCAAGCATATAATTTAGTTGTTGTAAACTGCAGTATAGTTACTAGTGTCGGAGTTTTGAACTCTGCGTCACTCCATGGCGAGCAACAATACTACCCTTGCCAGCTTGTGGATAGACGATGGTAAGAAAAAAGGAAAGTTGCCTGAAGTCAAAAGTTATTGTTAATCTTAATAATCTGATAAGTAAAATAAAGATTATGGATTTGTTAACGTTATGGTTATATGGTTGGGAAAATACGCTATTTTGCATTTCTTCAATCACTTTAGGTGTTAATTGCATTATGCTATGTAAGTTGGAGAAAAATGTAACGACGTTTTGTCAACATTGGTTAGAAATATTTTTCAAATCTTGAAAATCAAAATGATATCTGAAATAAAACAACACGAGAACACTCCTGGTTGACGATCCCACTGTATTGTATACACCAGCATAAAAATATTAAATACAGGCATTACAGTAAAGATTTGTTACAAATGAAGTCAGTTGATCTATTAACGTATCAGTATCTCATTTATTAAAATAAATACAATAACAATATCTATCATGCAGTCTGTCAGAGGGTGGTGAGGGAGCCCTGAGTGGCCTCAGTCATTCAACACAGGTCTTTCTTTGTAGACTTGTTCCTGACTGGTGTGATGTTACCATTCTCTGCCCCCCTCCCCCACCCCTTAAGTGTCCTGGTGACTAGTGTTGGTAATATTCATAGTGAGAACACTACAGGAAGGTCAGTATTTATAAGAAAAACCATACTGTACTACTACACACTATCAAAGTCTTAGTTCTTGTTAGCGTGAACTGAGTGTTGCTACATCTTGCGCTTTCTTAGTTACTTCTGTACATTTTTTTAGCTCTAATTGCTGTTGCTTTGCAGAAAAAAAAATCGTCACATTGAACCAGCATTCTGAAGTGGGAACTTAAACTTAACTCTTTGAGTCCCAAGAAATGCATCATGCGTTCATAGATTCCTACCTAGAAGCCCAATGAACGCAAGATGCACTGATTTTACATCTCTCTTAACTACCCCTTGGGCCTGTAATGCTAAACCCCCTGGGACTCAAAGAGTTAAGGTTATAATTCATAATTGTGCCATGTAAATAATAAAATGGCTTAGAATTGCTCCCACCAAGTAGTCCTATCTTGCAGTGTTGATGCTATCAAGGGAGACAAACCGAAATACTGTCCTGACTGGCGAGGAAGTCGTCTACCAGCTAGCCAATGGGCTCTCCTGTCAACTACGGCCAGTAGACAACAGTAGAGGGCCGGTTAGTCGGAGTTCTGTCCCTTGGTTACAGTGCAAATACGGAGTGGAAAAAGAGGGAACGAAACAATTGACACAATTACTGTGTGTTGGCGATAGACAGCGTGCACTGCCCTGCTATAATCATACGTTTACGGTTTGGGTTAGGGTAACACATGTAACGTCGAGTACTTACCCATAATGACGGCCACCATATGTGATAATTTTCAGACAGGAGTTCCAAATAATGGCAGACAATGTGCTGCTTGTGGCAGTAGCGCTATTGAAATTCTGCTAAATGTGAAGGCAATAGCGCCCAGCTAGTGCCCAATTGGTGCCGAATCTTGCGCTTCAGTAGCATCCAGAGCCCTTCAATTGTTTGGGTGTGGATGTCACTGTGGACGACGTCTACGAAGTTGGCCTGGTGGACTACAACCTCGTGCGGATAGATGCCATGCCTTAAGTTTGCTACGTTGCTGTAGCCTCGACCAAGCGTCGGTCACGATGGTCGTTCCCGGCAGGACGTGATCTGTTGTGTTGTGATTCGTGCCTTTTCCACTCCGTAATTGCACTGTAGCCAAGGGACAGAACTCCGACTAACCCGCCGTCTACTGTTGTTTCCCGGCCGTAGTTTACAGGAGAGCTAGCCAATGGGCTATCTGGTTGTTGATGCCTGTTGCCCTTAACAGGGTCTGTTATTAGTAAAATGTATTACTAACTTTAAAGTCTGTTTATTCTGAAGTCAGTGACAGCTATAACATGTCAGGGTGCCATGTCACTCATGAAATATTCAGTGGCAGTTATCATAAATCAGTGATACAGTTAACTGTGATCAGTCAGTGGCAGTTATCATAAATCAGTAATAGTTACAGTTAACTATGATCAGTCAGTGGCAGTTATTATAATTCGGTCTTCTCATAAAAAGGTTGGTTGTCCTGGTTCTTCATCACTTTGTATAGATTGTTTCTGGCTTTGGTTGTAGACTCTGGTAGACTGCTTACTGGTAATCTTTTAACTCGTTTTAATTATTACCAGCGTGTTTTGCGTTCTCTCTCCCCACCCAGTGGTTTTCTAATCAATACAGTTATGTGTATAAATGTGACAAAAATAATTGAAAGCTTTTGACCTGTCCATGTGATTTTTGTTATTTTTCCTGTTATTTCTCTTTAGCTTTCTATTCATTGTCAACATTCTATTCATATAATTTTTTCCTTTGTAATGAGTAATGCCTCAAATTTTTGAAGTGTTTTGTTTGTTTTAAATTTGAGTAAACAGGCAAGCGTACTAGCCACTGCTTTACCGTGACTCCCATATAAACTACATTATAGTTGTAGTCTTGCTGTTACGATCATCAGTCAGCAGGTCCCTTTTCAGAATGTCATTTCTGTCACGGCACGCCTGAAAGTCTCTGTGTCTGTTCTCCAGCCCTGTGAGCTTTCATAGCCAATGAGTCTTCCATATCTTGTATTCACCTTCGCAGAGGTCTGCTGTTGCCTCGTTTTTTGTGTGGGGAGGGGGGGGGGGTAAACTACCCTCTATCACCATTCTTTTCTGGCCACCATGTTGTTTAATGTAGCCAGAATACCTCAGCTTAGGATCAGGTGCTGTTTATATAAAGCAGTTATGCCTTTGTTCCATTTGTATTGATAACTTTCTGTCATAGAAAAAAAAAAATTACTTTTGCACAAAATAATAATGACCCTAAATATGAAAACTCCATGTTTTAAGTGACCTGTAGGACACAAAGCTAGCAGGTAATAGCTAGCAGGTTAGCCTGTCTGCTTGGTGGTCGGTCATACATTTCAGCCCCCTGCATTTTAAATAGAAACTGACTAATACTGGTCTCTTCCTATAGTGTTTTAGGTTAGAGTTTCAGAGATTTATAATGATGTATATCTTTTTACTGAAATTATGAAATAATGGGGGTCATTTTTATGATTTCAAAGTAAATTCCTCTTTTACTTCTTTGAGTGTCGAGGATATTATAAAGTTCTTCTTGCTTTTCAAGCCACTTGGACCATAGATGCACCTTATCATTGTAGAGTTTCTCTCATGTTATCTTTTCCTGTTGTTCTTGGTCTACCTCATGCTCTTCCTTTTGCCTTATGTAGTATGGTATCACGAGGCATTCTGAGTGTGCAAATTATTTGATTTGATGTCTTTGTATGTAATTTAGAATTGATTCTTTGCTGACGTTTTATCTTGTGACCCCATTCCAGATTTGATCCCCTCTGGTCACTGCTGCAGCCCTTCTCAGACAGCTCATTTGCATTGTTACTAATGTACTTTTTCTGGTTTGTTGTGAATGCCGTCTGGCACTGGTAGCATAAAGTGGGAATGAATATGCTTTGTATGTGATGTTTCTTTATGCTGATTCAGATTCTCATGAAAAGGGAAGGGGTTGGTGTCCCAATAATTGGTTTGCTTTACTGCACTACTTCGGGTGTTAATATCTTTATCTAATTTACGATCTTCAGTGAATGTTGTTTTGAGATATTTAAACTCTCAGGTGCCTGTTTCATGTCGTTGTTGCACTCTACTGTTATATTTAGGTTCTGCTTGTTTCTTCCTATTGTCATTACTTCTGTCATTTCAGTGTTGATTCTTATATTTGTTTACATTTTTCATTTATGGCTGTGAGATGTTGCTGCAATTTCATGGCTGTATCTGCTGTCAAGCGGTCATCAGCAGAGAGTAACTCAGTGATGTTACTAACATTTTCTTTCCTAGGCATTTACTGTTGACATATATGATAAACTGCAGTGGGGATAAAACACATCTCTGTCTTACTCCAGATGTTACTGTCAATAGTTTTACATGTTCCCTGATTTATTCCATAATACTTGTCTATATACTCTATTCTGTTCTGTTAAGTTTACAGACAGCTGTAATTGTCTTGTCATAACCTTTATTCAACAGCAACATCAGTCTTTTGGGGACTACTTTTAGTTAAACATCTCCCCCATTCATGAGGTAAGTAACTTTGGCAAGGACAGCTCTCTAGTAGATGGCTGATAGAAAAAAAAGATGTGGAATCACTAAGAAAATCTGGAGGATGGTAGAAATGTGAAACCACAGGCAGAAATGGCCACTGTGGAGATAACTTTTAAAGGCCTTATTTGTCAGCAGCAAAATGAATAGGATAAAGATCTTCCTGCTGTTGATATTGTTACTTTCAGCAGTGACCTTAATTGCCTTTTATGGCATGCTTGTAGTAGGTCTGTTGTTTTCTCCCCCAGAACCTATACTGGAAGGTTGATGCCATCAGTTACCTTAACCATACAGTAGGCTTAAAGTATTAGCTGGGTGAATAAAGCAATATAAATATACAAATTGCTACTTATTTTAGCAGGTCAGGGAAGTCCTCGGCATGTAACTGCAGTGACCCCATCCAAAACATTGAGCGGTGGTAACAGCAAAGACGAGCTGATTCAGTTCTACAGAAGCACAGGCTTGGATTCGGTGGCTAAAGATGTAAGTGTTCTGTACTTAATTACTTAGCTTTTTAAATATTTTGGAAACTTTTGCTGGTGTTTGGGCAGAGATGCTGAGTCGCACAGTGTAAGAGATTGAGGATCTTTTACCACACCCTCATCATCACCATCCTGTAACACTTAGTGTCATCGGCTCACCAGTTGTTGTTGTCTGATCAGCTCCCTCCATCTTTGACGGTCAAATGCAGTTGACCTAATGGTTAAACGCCTAACACCTGTCCAGTCTCAGTCAAATTCTATATCCAGGTCTTTCTTGGTCTGCGTCTTCTCCTCTTCCCCTCTACTGAGCCCTGTAGAATTGTTTTTGAGAGGCTGTTAGATCTTATTACATGTGTGTACTATTGTATTTCCCTACCCACACTACACAGTATTCCCAAAGAGGGCGGTAGATTAACATCATAGCAGCCAAGCTCCATTGTGGAGATAGCACGCACAAAATAATAATTAAGCTGTTTCTGCTCTCTTCCTCCTTTTCTCCGTCCGCTGCTTTTCATTTTTTGTGTGTCTGGTAATTTTTGTTTAAAGGCAGTATTTGCAGTCTGCTAGTGTACAGCAAGCCTCAGTATTTATTTTATTTGATACATCTGGCTTTTGTGGCATTTGTTTATTTGGATAGCCTTGCTAGGCAGGTTTTTAAGACATTTCATAAACTTCAGTTTGGGGTGAAATCATCTGTGTTTATTTGGATAATGAATGATGAACCTCACCAAGATAATCCAGAAAGCTAGGTATATCCTCTTTTAATTCTGAAGCGCAGGTAGGAACAATAGATAAGCATTGCCTGACATTTGAAGAATGATCTCAGTGGAAGGGGGGGGGGGGGAGCGAGTGTGACTAGCAAGACCCGCCCGTGTCAAGAAAGGTCTTCCACAATGATAGCATAGGATTTCAGGACCATTGTTAACAACATTTGTGTTTAATCCGTTTCTTTTCAGACTCTCAGCTCTCATCCTTTCTGCAATCATTTCTTCCATCAGTCTCATTCCCTTCCAGATATGCCCTTTCCACACAACACGGTTTATGGCATTTTGTTCCCATGAGTCCGCATCAGTACCTGTATCATTCATGTCCTGCTTGCACACATCTTTATAACGTAGTAGAGGTCGGTCTCGACATCTTCTTCCTGTCTTTAATTCACTATAAATGATGTCCTTAGGGACTCTGCCATCCTCCATTCTCCAGGTGTGACCCAGCCACCTGAGCCTTTGTAGACTGAGCATGGAAAAGACTTTTGTAGTACCTGCTCTTTCCAGTACTTCAGCGTTTGTGATTTTTTCGTGCCACTTAGTGCCACGTTTTCTTCTTAGGCATCACATGTGAAAGCTGTTTAGCCATTTCTCCAGTTCGCTTCAGTAATCGTTTGTTATATCACTTCCTAATGTTTCCTGATAAGTCTTGACCTACTTTTGCCTCAGTGGTTTCTTGGAAAGCCCAGGAAAAACCCACACATGTGTAGGGCTTTCAGTTTCTAGTCCTGGTGTCTGTTAGGTTTGGGCATTTATAGTTTTGTTTGAGAATGGGTGGTATCTGACTGTTTTACTTTCAGATTTATTTCATTGTTGGGAAGGAAAGCAAGTTGGGGAAGGTAGTTTTTGAAAGTATCTGGGTGTCTCAACTAATAAAGCTGTAACCAAATTCATGGGTCATGTCCTCTCTATGTGACTCCATTAAGGGATTGTCTTTACTTTACTATAGAATGTTTTTAGACATTTCATTGACAACAGACTCAAAACTAAGAGCGAAATAATACTACTACCCTGAGATGGATAAAGTTGTCTTGTATTTCTCATTAACATAAACCCAAGCTGTTTTAAAGTTACCTTTCTCAATGCTTTAAGTAATAGGATAGGTTCAGAAGTGGTCACTAAACTTAATCTGTGACTAGATTGAGGGAGAAAGGGGGGGGGGGGTGTACAGGTACAGAGAAATGTTTTGACTGAAGCCTTTATCAGCGATTAGAATAACAAGAGTAAGAATCTTAAACACCTGCCCTGAAACTGGGGAGTTCTAAGGGAAAAGTTGGACTAAGTTAATGCACTGCCGTAACATCTTGAAAACATAGCTGAAGTACCTGGCTCAGTTCCAGTTGTTTTCCCGTGTGGGTTCCGGGGCCCAGCTGTGGTGAAAACAAGAATAGACCCACTGTCTGCCCAAAAGCATGCATAAGAGTCCACTAATTGGGCCCTTTCTTTGAAATCGGAGTACATCTACCTGAGAGGCAATGAACCAACAGTCTGCATGCAAAGTCAGACCTGTAAAACAGATGTGCATGTAACACTCAGTTTCTGGAACCGGGCTGGGGTCCAGAAGTGGACAAACAACTAGAACATTTCACCCGAGTTTACAGCCGGTGAATGCGAAGAAGAAAAAGAAGTTCCAATTGTGAGTTAATTTGGCAGCAGACCACTTTGCATTAATTTGGTAGGGAGCGCCAATGTTCACAAAGTAATGGCAAACTACTGTATGTTAAATCCCTAGTGAAACCAAAAATTAAAACATTGCTGGGGTTGGTTTGCAGCGTCTTGTAAAGAATACACTAACGTTTTTAAAATACAGGTCCCATAGCAACTGTTGTTTGTTGTGGGAAGTGTTAGGCCTTCACATATCCTGGCCCATGGTAAATGTGGTAGGTTGTGGCCAGTATCTTTCTTCATCACCATTTATTTGCTGTCACGTCCTAAATTGTTCAAGAAATTCTCTGGTGCCCATTTTTATGACACCGGATCCGCCCGATAGCTGAACTGGAGGTTGGGGTATAAATTCTCCTGCTTCTGTGAGGGATGTCTTTAGGGACTCTGTCATCGTTTGTTCTCCAGGTGTGAGGGATGTCTTTAAGGACTTTACCATTGTTCATTCTCCAGGTGTGAGGGGATGTCCATAGGGACTCTGCTATTGTTCATTCACTAGGTGTGACCCAGACCCAGCCACATTGTAGAGCATTTTTTACTATACTATTTAGCATGATTTTTGTGTGTGTGACATCAGGAAGCCATCACATGTTGTAGGTGTTTACGAGGGCTTTGCTTTAAAAAACTTGCTGTTGTGGGGTTGGTTTGTTGGTGGACAGATCATCCTCATGCCACAACAGACCAGTCAGCCCATCAATGCTTGAATCTCCTCACTGAATCTCAGACGTGTAGGGCTGACGACACTAGTTCCTTATTAGTTAATTAATATTCTTTGGCTTCCTGCCTAGTGTTATTGTCTGAACTTGACCCTTTTATCTTGCTGTTCTTGCATTGCAGTCTGACCATGGTTGCAGATTCAGTCATTACTTGATTCTCGCAACATCCTACTTATCCTAGAGCAGGGCTGTTTTGCTGGCGACCCGCTGGTTAAATATGGCCCATGGAGACCTAGCTAGTGACCCGAGGGATCCAGTTGCATTGTATTGTAATAAAGTTCTGTTGGGCTGCAGTCTTTGACGATCCCCTTAAAAAAAGTTTTACTTCCAGGCAAACTTAGTTGAATAACCCTGTACTAGAGCATGTGCTGTTTTGGGGTACCGGCTCATAAATATAAACCAAGTTTTGTGGAGAGGGGTGAGTTAATGTCACTCACCCTGTTAACTTATTAAACTATGACCCAGTATATGTGACATCCTCAGCTTTTTACACCCCTCTTTTGCAGTATCTGCTTTGGGATTTCCAAAAACATCTTCAATCAACCCCAGAAGTAAAAGTATGATAACAGGCTAATATCTACTTGTTTTCTGAGTAATCAGTTATTGATTAAAAATAACCACTTAGATTAGAAAAAGGGAAACTATTTGGGGAGACAAGTTAGTAATTCTTCTGTTTGTCATTGTTAAGTCTAGTGAAATGGCAGTTGTGTCAGGCTTTTCTGACCTGGTGAATTTGATTTTATCAGACATTTTTTGCATGGTTTTGTTCCCTTATGATAGACTGGATGGCTTTTTTTTTTTGGTTTTCAGAGTATGTTAACAACATGTCTGGTAAGACTTTCCTCGGTGCTTTATTAATATCCTACCCCAAACAGGGAAAATCCACAGGTCACTGGACAGTCTAAAATTTCAGGGGGTGGTAGGTGGGTTGCAACGCAGTAGTGGGACCTAGGCTGCATGCATTCATGGGACTTAGGCTGCACTCTCTCGTTAGGGCCAGTTCTAGATGTTTTGGGGTCGATAAAAGCATCAGAAAGCCGGGAAACCCAGTCTTACCACCCTCTGAAATGTTGAACTGTCCTTTGACCTCATCTGGGGTAAGATATTAATAAAGATCCCTGTCCTCTGCTGGAGGTTTGTGAATTAACATGACTACACCAAGTAGACCTGACATTGCAGTTTTTGATCCATATAAGTTCATGACCAGAGATCACTGAAGAAGAAGAACTGGTCTCGTCAGCTGCTACATGCCACAGGAATTACCAAAGAGGGGGTCTGAGCAGTTATTAACTGAATAGTTTGATGTCCAGTGAGGATCGTCTGTGACTAAACACCTAGCTAATATCAGACAACCTGTTTCCATGTCTTGTTTGCAGGTGGGCATCCTAGACTTCAATGGTGAAATCAAGGGGTTCACTGGAGGCCACCAATCACCATCAAATCGTATGTAAAAGCATTGTCCTGTTGTGTTGGTCAACAGTCTCATGTATTGATACCTTTTATTTGTTGTTCTCTTCAAATTGTCTCTCTCATATTCTCAGTGCATGCAAGTGTGAGCATCCATACAATTAGTTTCTCTCTTGCTTGTACTCGTCGGCGTGCCTCAGCACTCTCTTAAATCATGTCTCTCTCATGCTCATACCTGTCTGTAAACATCCACATGGGCTCTTAAATCATGTCTGATTTTCAGCTGATCATCGTAATCATCCTGGAAGTTTCCCTCAGGCTAGACAGACTTTTCACCTGATCATCTTAATCATCCTGGAGGTTTCCCTCAGGCTAGACAGACTTTTCACCTGATCATCTTAATCATCCTGGGGGTTTCCCTCAGGCTAGACAGACTTTTCACCTGAACATCTTAATCATCCTGGAAGTTTCTCTCATGCTAGATAGACTTTTTCACCTGATCATCTGAATCATCCTGAAAGTTTCTCTCATGCCACCCCCTTGTTCACCTCAGCTCTCTTGTTTACTTGAAAGTCTGCTCCCCTGGCTCAGCTCAAATTCTTGAATCACCCTGAAAGTTTCCCTTGAACCCACTCCCCTTGTTCACCTCAACTTCTTTAATCATCTTAAAAGCTCCTCTCTGTTAAGTTGCACACCTCCACTTTCCCTGTGAAATTGTAAATTGTTTTATTCAGAACTATGCTATGAGGGGCATTCAGACAGTTTTTAGTTGTTGTTTCTAAGCAAGTAACGAAGACAAAAGCATGACATTTTTCCTGGCCAAATTGTATAGGATTAGCCTTTTCTTCCTGGTCAGGGTGCATCTGCCTGAAGGGCAAGGAACCAACAATCTGCACAAATAAGTCAGATCTGTTTGAAAAATTGAAGAAAAAAAGGATTTTCGCACGTGCTCTCAAAATTCAAGTCCTGGAACAAAACCACAGTCCAGAAGTGGATGAAAAACCAGGACTTTCTGCTGGAGTTTACAACAGGTGAATGCAAAGAAAAAGACAAAAAGTAAATTAAAAAAAAAAATTGTGAGTTTCCTAATGCTAAAAGAGTTAAGTATTTCTCAGCTGGGTCTCAACACACTGTTATATATCATATTGTCATTTCCTGTTGCAGCTACTGTCTGTTCCTGCCACATGTTTGTTCCTATCTTACTGCCACACTTATAGTGTGAGTTTCCTAATGCTAAAAGAGTTAAGTATTTCTCAGCTGGGTCTCAACACACTGTTATATATCATATTGTCATTTCCTGTTGCAGCTACTGTCTGTTCCTGCCACATGTTTGTTCCTATCTTACTGCCACACTTATAGTGATGAGTATTTTTCTGTATTTTGTGTGTGTGTGCAGAAATTCAGTTGGTGGCTGTCCCCATAGCCCAGTCTCCCAGCAAGATGTCACCACATCTGCTACCCAAGCCGTCACTTGCTTCACAGGTCAGTTGCAGTATTTTTGTTGTGTTTGTTTAGAGAGCCGAGAGGATGGTTTCATTGTGCAGGATTTAATACCATACTGCTTAGCTGCAGGCTATAAGCACAGAACTATATTGCTTTAGTGACAGTCCTAGGGGATATCTGTTGAAAAAATGCATTTGTGAGCTGAATTACATGGTCCATGAAAGGAACCTGCCCACCTTCAGAGCACAAATCAACAGCTTAGCCACAGAGATCCCATTAAAAAAAACACACACGTACATAAGTGCGCATGTGCACACACATACACATCACAGGGCTTCGTTTTTCTAGAACAAGAGACCCCTGTGAGGTGATTTTACTGTTAGCATATAGCACAGTATAACACTGTCATCTGGAAAGACAGAAAAGTGCTAACAATTTATTTTATAGTTAATAAATTATCACTAGCATTTTCCAGCGTGGGTTCCGGGGTCCCATTGTGGGGGGGGGGGAACAAGAATAGACCCCTGCCTTCCCAACAAGCATGTTGTAAGAGTCAACTGATTAGGTGCTACCTTTAAAGTCGGAATCATCTTTCTGAGAGACAAGGAACCAGGAGTCGGCATACAGATAAGCAAGATTTGTAAAACTAATGTACACGCAAAACTCAGGTCCTGGAACAAAGCCAAAGTCCAGAAATGGATGAATAACTAGGTCTTTCACCGGGGGTTTACAGCTGGTGGACGCAGACGGACAGCAGACATCACTAGCACTGGTAATACAGTTATGATAGGGTTGATTAATACTGTTCAACTCCTTAATATAGATATTTGGTCAATCAGAGTTAAAGAAATAGAAATGGCAATAAGCAATATGAAGAATGGGAAGGCACCAGTTGAAGACTGAATTAGTGCTGCTATGTTAAAGGCAGACCCACAGTTTACAGCAAAAGCATTACATAGAATATTTAACAGAATACAGATAAATGAAGTGATCCCAATAGATTGGAAAAATGGTGTAATCTTCCCACTATCGAAGAAAGGTGATCTCTCACACTGCAACCATTGGAGAAGCATAACACTGTTGTCTGCACATGGACGAGCCTTCAATGCAACCTTCTTGAACACCTGAAACATTTCGACTTTGCAGATATCTGTGTCATCAGCCAAAGTAAAGAGCAACTGCAACAAAAGACAGGTAAGATCACAAAAATAGCAAAACAGACAGGGTTAAGAGTCAGTGTCAGTAAAACAAAACTGCTGGAGATAAACCCCAAAAGGGAAAGACCTATAGTAATAGATCATTTAGGTTTGGAAACAGTGACTTCACTTACCTGGGAAGCAGTATCTCCTCGGATGGAAATATAACGGTTGAAATTGAGCAGAGAATTGCAAAGGCACACGCTGCTTACAACAGACTTCAGAGTTTCTGAAGATCAAACATCTACAGCACTAAAACTAAACTCAGGATGTACAAAACATGAGTTAGGACAGTTCTCCTCTGTGGAGCAGAAACTTAGAAAACAGACAGAAAGATAGAGAGAGAGAGCATACTCAGAGGTTTTGAAAGAAGACTTCGTAGAAGATTGTTGGGGTGCTTATGGTAAGATAAAATCAGCAATTCTAGATTAAAACAAATGACAGACTTAATAGATATACATTTAGAAATTAAAAAAATGAAGATGGAGGTGGATTGGACACGTCCTCAGAATAAAGAAAGAGAGACAGCCGAGCCAGGCATTGCAATGGACACATCAAGGACGAGGAAAAGGCAGGCGCAGAGGCACTTGGAGGCGAACCTTTGAAGCTGAACTCAAGGCTATGTGAAGGATACAACTAGAGATAGAGAGGATGGCTCAGGATCGAATTGAGCAGTGACAGTTTGTCTTTGCTTTTTGTGCCTCTGGGCGCGATGAGGATTGGTTATATTGTTAGACTACATGGGAAAAAAAATGTCTTTATCGGCGACTGTGGTTTAGACGTTACAAACACGCTTTGTAATGCCAGGTTGCCGGGTTCGATCCCACTTGCTGGCCTTGCGTTGGTTTTGACTGGTATCGAGAAGCCGACCGTCCAGAAAGCAATGGCAAACTACTGGACGTAAACTTGCCTAAAATGCTGGGGTTGGTTCTGCAACATCCTGTAAAGAATACACAACTAACTTGTTATGGGAACTCTCATATAAGTTCATTTACTCCCTTTATTACAACATTTTCTGTTTGAGTGGTAAAAGTGTGTAGCATTTAGAGTAAATATTTAATGCATTGTGAGTTGTGTGTATTTATAATAAGTTGAGGTACCATCTTGATACTAATTGGTGTTATCAACTTTCATTTGGGGCTAGATAATGAGCTCTGCTGTTAGACCACAAGTTATACAGGTGGATGCCACTTCTCCATGGTCAGCCAAAAGACGGGCCTCAGACTTCCTTGACTCAGATTACTCTGACAGGTATGATATGTCCTTGTGAAGTAATGTGTTTGCAGATATAATTCACTTGTTTGGTTGGGGGGGGGGGGGGGCAAGAGACCAAGTGTGTACACAAAGAAGCCAGATCAGACAAAGTGGATGCGCAAGCAACACACATCCTGAAACGACCAGACTCCAGAAGTGGAAAAACAGCCGGGACTGTCTGCAGGAGTTACAGCCAGTATATGCTTAGGAAGAGGAGGACGTAGATGCATTGTTTATAGGTTTGAGGACAGATAATTATTAGGACATTGCAGATCTCTTCTTCTTTCTGTCCCCTTTTACTGCTTTGGGTGTCAGTGGTCATGCTTTGTCCTCTTCTGGCTGCTTCGACCATAGACACATCGTAGTGCTGTAGAGTTTTTCTTATGTTATCTTCCTATCTTGGTCTACGCCCTTCTTCTCTTTTCAAGTATGCCTTGTATGGTATAACATCAGAAGGCATTCTCTCTAAGTGAGCATTCAATTTGATTAACTGTCTTTGAATGTAATTTAGAAATGGTTCTATGCTAATCTCATGTGACCTCATTCCTGGTTTTATCTCTTCTGGTCACTCCAATAGGCATTTATGTTCTGTTGTGGGTGATCAAATATGCCCTAATAGCATAGGATGGGAATGAGTATGCATTTTATGAGATGTTTCTTTGTGCTGATTTTGATTGCCTTATGCTGTAAGAGGGGAGCTAGGTGTCCCAATACTTGGCCTGCTTTACTGCATGGGATGTTAATTTCTTCGTCCAGTTTACCATCTTCAGTGAATTTTGTTTAAAGATATTTAAACTGATATTCCTGTTTAATATATGTATGCTCTAATGCTTTTTTTAAATTCTGCTTCTTTCTTACTATTGACATGACTTCAGTCTTTTTTATGTTGATTCTCATTATTTGATTCACATTCTTCATTCACTCTTCAATCCCCTACTTTGTCCTGTTGAATGTTGTAATATTTTAAGTTTAATTTTTCTAAATGCATCTCTAGAAAAACAAACCAAAAACATTTCTTCTAATTTCTTTTGTACATTCTGAATTTCCAGTAAACGTGGAAAGAAAGGTGACAAAGGTGGAAAAGGTTTGCGGCATTTCTCAATGAAGGTCTGTGAGAAAGTTCAAGCTAAAGGGGTCACCTCGTATAACGAAGTTGCAGATGAGTTGGTGACTGAGTTCAGTGACCCCAGGAATATGCTGTCTCCGGTTGATGTTACGGTAATTTAATCATCATTACATTATATTATTTTTTTTCTGTATAATTTTGCTGTCTTTGCTGAGTTTTGTTATTGATGGAAACCTTTTGCTGCCTGTATTTGCTACTTTTTAGAGTAGTGTACAAGCAGTTTTAACTGTGCAAGTTAAAAATTGTTTTTCTATTTTGTTGCTCCAACGAGAATTTGAACCCAGGTCTGTTTTGGATGCATGGTATGTTTACTCCTGAAATCTTCAGCAATCTGCTGTCTTATTTTATATTTTTATGTAAGCCTTTTTTTCTTTGCATTTTTTTTAAACCTCCAAAAGTCAAAGCACATGAAATTTACACGAAAACTAAAAAAAAAAATGAAATTAGAAAGCATGTAACGATGGATTGCACACTTAGCTAGTGACAGAAGTTACATCGGTGAAGGAAAATCTAAGCGATCTATGCGCATGCAAACACCCGCACTCACATCCCACATCCCCCATGTTGGCAGTGTGCCAAAGTCACCTAAATGCTAGCTAACCTTGTTAAAGAAAATGTTTCTTTCTCTGAAATGGGAAATGAAATTGTCTAGTTTGCAGGAAGAGTTAATACTTTGTTTAGACTTGGAGTAGGAATTGACATGTGTGCCTCTGGGCATATTGTAAAGGGACAAATAACAGCCCTGAAAATGTACTCAGGTGACAGTTAGTCACAACTGCATTTAGGTGACTTTGGTGTAGTGCCAAAAAGCTCCCATCTTTGTGTTCATCATCCATCATCAAGTGCCTTGCCAGCGGGTGTAGGTGTTATTTCAACTCCACAGATCTCGTTCCTTAGTGATCTGGATCAATTCCACTGATAATATTCCTTCATGCCACTGTCTTAAACCATCCGCCATCATTTCTCTTGATCTGCCTTTGCCTCTTCTACCATTGATCTTTCCGGTCGTCACAGTATTTCCTAGAGCTCCTTTTCTCATCACACCAAAGAACTTTGTGTTGATAGATAAACAGTAGAAATGAGAAACTTATCACAATGTTACTGAAGATCAAATGACCCAAAATATTTGAGGCTGGCCCTGTGTATTGTGTCTGCTTAGTATACCCACGATTTACTTTCTTTTTAATGTTCATTTTTGTTGCCTGTGATTGGGACATTGTGGTTTTTGTCTGCCAAGACTGGCGGAGAAAACAAAGAATTACCCCCAGTCTCCTTAGCCCCAACGAGCATGTCTTAAAAGATGACTGATTAGGATTTTGGTGAAATTGGATATTTATGCTGAAAGGCCCAGCTGTTGCTGCCTAGCTTAAACCAGAGTACAAAGTGCCAACCACCCTTTAACAGGTTCAAAGAAGTAGAATAACTATCTCTGGGATGAACTATACATTTAATGATATAGCCTTTGTAGGTAGAGTTCTTGTCTTTATAGTTGTATACTTATGAGTTATTTTGTGTTTGTTTCACTGTGCAGCCCTATGATCAGAAAAACATCAGACGTAGAGTGTATGATGCCTTAAATGTCCTAATGGCTATGAACATAATATCCAAAGAGAAGAAAGAGATCAGGTGGATTGGGTTGCCCACAAATTCAGCTCAGGAGTGCCAGCATCTAGAAGTAAGTCTGCTTGTAATACACGTGGAGCGTTCGTGTGACCTGTTGTGTTCCGAAACATTTTTGTTAATTACATTGTCTAGTTGTGTCAGTATGTTGTGTCACTTCCTGTTGACTGACCTGTAGCTCGTGGCATTGTTTTATTTTTGTTTTGTTTTCCTGTGCACCGGAATATTCCATTAGCTCTTGAATTTTGACCTAAAAGAACTTATTGACTTTTCTTTTTCTGGGGGAGGGGGGGGGGTGAAATGGTCAAGCCATTTGCCTCGCGCTCTAAAGGTAGTGAGTTTGTTGTTCACAGCTGCATCGTTCTGTTCACAAGTTCAATTTTTCACATAGAGCCCTGGGGATTGTTGCTGGTGCTATGGTGCTCATGCTTTGTGTGACACTCTCGGCAGGCGGCTGATAAAACCTGATGCAAGTTGATCCAAATGGTTTTAACCGTCAACTTTCCTGATCCTCTCTATTTTTAAATGTGTGTTTAGCTGTATTAATGCCCCTTTGTGTTTGTAACATTAATTCTGTCGTGGTTGTTGTCTTGTACGCTGATCGTTTTAACTTTCCATTTTTCTTGATGTAATAATGAATTCAGTGCTTCCCCTTTGTGGCCTGGGTGGGATCGGGGCCTCATTTGTGAGAAAATAAGAATAGCCCACGAGACTCCCTATCAAGCCTGTTGTAACTCAGTTTTTATTATGCCTAGTGGCACATAAGGTTTCAGGGAGGACTTTCCATACTTTCCTGTCCTGTGCAATCTTCAATGCAGTTTTCCATGTCTGAGAGGCTGCACTCAGTTCTCTTTCCATCCTTCGTTTCCATGTTGTTTTGGGGCACATGTTCTTTCTTTTTCCCTCCGGTATCCAAGAAAGAGCTGTTTGGCAGGTATGTCAGGATTCATTCTCACAACGTGGCCAAGCCATTTCCATCTTTTCTTTTTTATTATTAGAGTTTTTGTGTATGTGGCTTGTGTCTGGCCAGAAAATGTTGATAATTCTACGTATACATGTATGATGGAAGGTGGATAGCGGATAGCTTGTGTGCATCCTTTTTTGGTCATTCTGCTCCATAAAGAAGAAATGGCAAAGCAGTGCTTTTTTAGATTTGGAGTTTTGTTCCTGTGTATAACTGTTGGATTTCCAGATTTGCCTCATCCTTCCAAAAGCAGCTGTAGCTTTGTTCAGGCATGACAGTATGTCTTCCTCTGTCCTTCTTAGTAGGGACACCACACTGCCAAGATATGTGAACTGTTCTACATTTTCAAGTGTTTGGTTATTTTTTTTTTTTGTCACTGGTTGTTGGTTTGGACTGTGTGTCAATGTTAGTTTTCATTGTATTTTTCCCCAGTCCCACTATTTCTGCTTTGCTGTGCAGTCTGCAACTTTTATGTATATGTTCATGTTTATGTGATAGGAGTGCTATATCGTCTGCAAATCAAGGTCTTTGAGCATGGTATATGGAGTCCATTGAATGCTTCTACTATGTCTTGTCTACTGTGTTCTGTAATATCCAATCAATCACAAGGTTAAAAAGGAGGGGTGACATAACACATCGCTGTCTTATACCTGTCTTTAGTGGGATAGGTGTATTGTAATTTTTAATACCACAAGAAAAGTCCTTATAGAAGAGAGCAGTTATGTTGACTATCTTTTCTGGACGAGCAACCAACAGTCTGCCTTCAAATAAGCCAGATCTGTCGAACGAATATGCATGCAAAACTCAAGTTCTGGAACAAGACCAAAGTCAGGAAGTGGACAAACAAATACCACAACTTTCCACAGAAGTTTATAGTTGGTGAACCTTAAAAAGAAGAAGAAATTTAATACTTAACATTGTGATGTTCATTTGAGCTTTTTTCAGGCATCTCATCTCACAAGTGTTAGTTTTACATGAATCAGAAACGGAACACACACTGTAAGACTAGGAAGCTGAACAGAAGCAGGATGCACAGATACCGAATGTATCAACTACAGTCTTTATCAACATATAAATGGAGAGGAGTCTATTTGACATTAAAGAAAAGGAGGAAGCGAGCCCCACCTCATGTTTGTTGAAACTGAATGTACTGGGCCAGTCTTGGCGATATAGTGTAACATGATGCCACAGTAAGACACCAGGCTGGCAGATTTGGCTGCAATAATTACTTACACAGGGGAGGATCATATAGAGTCCACATGGACAGCAGTTATTGTACTATAGATAGCTGTTTCTATGATTTGAAATATTCAGAATGGTTGATGATTACATGCATAGGTTAAGTGTACAAGTCTTCAGTCATTATTAAAAAAAAAGAAAGATATGACCATACTGATCTTATAGGAGTTAGTGTCTTGCTATTGAGTTCACTAGTATATGTACTATGTATGGATATATATATAAGAGTGCAGTGCCAGGTGCTGTCAGTGGTGGCAACATGGACCACAGTGGGAATCGTGTGAAATGGTTCAAGTGGCAACAGTGGTACGCCATGACTCGGGGTCAGACTAGTTAGAATCTATCGGTACCTCTCACAGTTATCCTAGAAACAGAAGTGATTTCCTTCGAAATTGAAACGCATCTGCCTACCTGAAAGACTAGTAACTTACAGTTTGCACAAAAGCATGTCGTTAGTCAACTAATTGGGGAGGTTCCTTCGATGTCGGGTATATCTGCTTAAGAGGCAAGGAACCAAAAGTCTTCATAATGATGTCAGACGTGTAAAACAGATATGCACGGAACATCAGTTTCTTGAACATGTCTAGCATCCAGAAGTAGATGAACAGCCAAAACTTTCCGCTGGAGTTTACAGCCCGTGAACGCGAAGAAGAAGAATATTTCTGTCGAAAAAATGTCCTTTTCCCAATTTGGCAAATATAATCGTATCCACCATGTCTACACACCATGCAGCTGCAGCCAGTACCAAAGCTATCATACAGACGTACTGGGCATTGTCAAAAGACATCATATCAACCAAAACCTCTTAGGACGAGAGGGTAATAACCTCAACTTATTTATGCTCCCCAATATGTAATTGAACTGTATCTACCAAAACCATATAGACATATAATGCCATAACATTGTTAAATCATTATCTCATGCAGTAATTTGTTTGTTTACAGATTGAGAAGCAGAAGCGAATAGAAAGAATAAAACTCAAAACCCAGCAACTTCAAGAACTTATTTTACAGGTAACGAACATTACTCAGCAACCCCCATTTACACGCCTTCTTTTTGATTCAGCAGCTTAGCATATTTTAAGAAACTAGTTTACAAAGAAAAACACAAATCCGAATCATGGTCATCCTTTTGTGCCATCTGTATGTCGCATAGGGCTGCCAGTCTTTTACTCAGTTCTATTCTGTTGTATGCAATCCTTTCAATATCATTTGTGGCCAACCTGTTAATGTATGCTCTCTTATCGCACCTTGCGTATCTGTGTGAGTGTTTATTGGGTAATCTTAAGCCCTAATTTCTTGTGCTGTTTTAGCGTTACATAGAGTTTCACTGTTTTTCTTTCTTTAATAGTTGTGTGCAGTCACTTATCTAACCAGACATTTTTTTTTTTTTTTTTTGGGTTGCTCTTTTTTAGTCCTACACTAATGGTTGCTATTTCTAAGATTGTGGTCTTTAGATCATTCCATTTGGCTTCAGTGCTCTGCTTTCCCTACTCCTCAAGTGCCTTGATTCTTTTTTCAGTTCCAGCTGGAACTCTTGTACTTTTTCATTGCAAATTAATTTTGACTATCTATTCTTTGTTGCTCATGTTTGTTTGTTTGTAGCTGTTTTTCATTTTAGATTCAGTCTTTCCACAAATAAGATGTGGGCGGCAACCACATCTGCTCTTCTGTAGGTTTGGACATCAGTCACAGAGCTTCTGCATTCTTGTGTTATTTGGGGGGATGTCATTTTTCCGTACATTTGCGAGTTCCTAAGAGAAATTTAATTTTTGCATTGTGGGGTAAACCGGCCCCAAGCCTAGCTCTCCTCCATTTTAATCCAGGCTTAGGTGCAGCAATTGGTAGCTTCTTTTTCTTCTTCATGTTCACCGGCTGTAAACTCTGGCTTAAAGTTCTGGTTTGTTGGTTTATTTGTCTCTGGACTTGTGTCTTGTTCCAGAACCTCAGTGTTGCATGTGCATCTGTTTAACAGATCTGACCTAATTGTATGTGGATTGTTGGTTTCTTGCCTCTCAAATGGATGCATTCCGACTTATGAAGGAAGCTCCAATTAGTTGACTCTTATGACATATTTTTGGGTAGACAGTGGGCCTGTTCTTGCTTTCTACAAATTAGGACCCAGAAACCCACAGGGACAATGGGTAACAAGAAGTCTGTTTGTTTATTTTGCTCTAAAGGTAACGGTCAACACATGCACATTTCTTTGTCCTGTCTCATTGAAGACCTCATAAGTTCCCCAGAAACATATTCTTTTATCACTACACGGTGTTCAGTTACAGGGTTAGGACCTGCTGCTGCTGGATAAAGATTTCTTATGTTTCTTCGTCTTCTTCTCCTGCTTCTTCTTTGTCTTTACCTGCTTCTTGTTCTTTTCTCCTGCTTCTTTTCCTTCTCCATATTTTTCTTCTTCATTTTCTTCCCATTTTCTTTCTACTTTTTTAAAAATGTTTCTTCTTTTTCCTCTTCTCTTTCCTCCTACTCTTACCTAACAGTAGGGCATAAGTATTGAACCAACTAACACTATGTTGTATCTGCTTGTTTGTGGCTGGTTACACTTTGCAGCTAATCTTTTTCTTTTGAGCTGAGGTAGTCAGTGCTGCTTCACTAACCCTCCTTAGTCACCTCATACTTTGTGTATGGTGTAATACAGAATATCTGTTCTTGGCTTCAATTATGAGCCCTAGTAGCAGGTTAAGGTGGGGATAATAATGTTATACTGATTTCTTTGTAGTGCCTGCTTTGCACTAAAATATCCCCTCTATATCCACAGCAAATAGCATTCAAAAATCTGGTGCAAAGGAACCGGGAGTTAGAAAAGTCACAAGGGCCACCTGCTTCCAACTCCGCCATACAGCTGCCTTTTATCATCGTGAACACAAGCAAGCAGACTGTCATTGACTGCAGCATTTCCAATGACAAGTATGGTTTGCTTCTCTCTTGTCTTCTTTATTTTCTTCTTGCTATGTCTTTGTTTTCCTCTTGTTATAATTTTATGTTTTTGTTGTCTGGTTTTGAGTGTTTTTCTTTTGTGTTAGTGTTGTTGTCCTCTTATTATGAGTAAATGGCTTCTATCATCCTGTTATTATGTTTTAGTTTCTGTCCTTACCATATCCTGAGTTTGTTAAACTGTCCGTCTCTTTTTATGTGAATGTTAGCCTCTGTCAGTCTTTTGTTATGAGACAGTATGTTACTCCCTGTCCGTCTCTTGTTAGGAATCATGTTATATTTTCTGTCCATCTCCAATTATTTATTGCTCTGTTGGTTACTCTCTGTCTCTTGAAATGGGTCTGTAGATTACTCACCGTCTCTTGAAATTTGTCTGTAGATTACTCACCGTCTCTTGAAATTTGTCTGTAGATTACTGAATCTAATGAAATAGGTCTGAGGATTACTGTATCTCTTTAAATGGGTCTGTAGATTACTCCCCGTCTCTTGAAATGGGTCTGTAGATTACTGTATCTCTTGAAATGGGTCTGTAGATTGCTGTGTCTCATGAAATGAGTCTGTAGATTACTGTATCTCATGAAATGGTTCTGTAGATTACTCCGTCTCTCTTAGAAATGGGTCTGGTGGTTACTTCCTGTCTCTTGAAATGTATCTGGCGGTTTCTCACGGTCTCTTGAAATGAATCTGTATATTACTCTCTGCCTCTTGAAATGGGTCTGTAGATTACTTCCCGTCTCTTGAATTTTGTCTTTAGATTACTGAATCTCATGAAATGGGTCTGTAGATTACTGTATCTCTTGAAATGGGTCTGTAGATTACTCCCCGCCTCTTGAAATTTGTGTGAAGATTACTGTATCTCATGAAATTGGTCTAGATTACTGTATCTCATGAAATGGGTCTGTAGATTACTGTATCTCATGAAATGGTTCTGTAGATTACTCCGTGTCTCTTAGAAATGGGTCTGGTGGTTACTTCCTGTCTCTTGAAATGTATCTGTCGGTTTCTCCCAGTCTCTTGAAATGTATCTGTTGGTTTCTCCCTGTCTCTTGAAATGTATCTGTTGGTTACTTCCGGTCTCTTGAAATGTATCTGTCGGTTTCTCCCTGTCTCTTGAAATGTATCTGTTGGTTTCTCACTGTCTCTTAAAATGTATCTGTTGGTTACTACCTGTCTCTTAGAAATAGATCAGATCTGGCGGTTACTCCCTGTCTCTTAGAAATGGGTCTGTTGGTTACTCCCTGTCTCTTGAAATAGATCTGTTGGTTACTCCCTGTCTCTTGAAATGGATCTATCGGTTTCTCCCTGTTTCTTTAAATGTATCTGTTGGTTACTTCCTGTCTCTTGAAATGGATCTGTCGGTTACTCACTTGTCTCTTGAAATGGATCTGTCAGTTACTCTGTCTGTCTTTTATTGCGTAAATGTTTGTCCTTCTCCTTTTGCTATGAGAATCTAAGTCCCTGTTCTTTCGCTGTAGTGTTTTGCAATTGATGTATTAGTCTCTGTCTATCCCATATTGAGCGTACTTTAGTCTGCCCTTCACTTGTTATGATTATATTGTCATGTCTTTCTTGCCAGATTTCAGAAAAACTGACTCGGTGTGGGTCAATACATGTCCAAAGTCCTATCACATGTTTTTACAATTTTTGTTTACAACAGATATGAATACTTGTTCAAATTTGACAACACTTTTGAGATCCATGATGACATTGAAGTTTTAAAAAGGATGGGCATGGCCTTTGGTCTGGAGCGGGGTCAGTGCATGTCACAGGATCTTGCCCGGGCTTCCAAAATGGTGCCAAAGTCTTTGGAACCTTATGTTATAGGTGAGTTTTGTGCTGGGTGCAATCTTTGGATTGTTGTGTGTTGATTTGAGAATGTTTGGATATGTGCTATAGTTTTTGCTTATTTCTTCTTCTTCTTCTTCTTCTTCTTTTCTTCTTTCTTTCTTTTTTTCTTCATGTCTTTCTCATTCTTCTCTTCCTCCTCCTTCCCCTTTTTGTTCTTCTTTCTATTCATTTTCTTCTACCCTGTCTCTTGAAATGAGTCCTTAGATTATTCCCTGTCTCTTGAATTGGGACTGTAAATTACTCTGTCTCATCTTCCTCTTCCTCCTCCTCTTCTTTCCTCCTGTTCTTTTTCTTCTTTCTTCTCCTTCACAACCTCATGCTACTTCTAGTTCTGTCTTTTAACTCCCTGTGGAGCACAAGGCCTCTACCAATTCAAGCCAAACCTTTTGTAGAAGCACAGCGGGCTCGAGGGAAAAATGGATTTTTAAAAATTTTATTTTTGTATTTGTGTATTTCTGCTTGATAGACCTTGGATTTCTGTGTTAACATTGTTATTTTTATGGTGCATTGGGTACATACTTATCAAGGGGTTTACATTGTAGGTGGGTATTACCTTGTGTTTGGAGCCTCATGTTGTAGATTCTGTCCTTCTTGCAAGATAGATTTGTCATGCCAGTCTTCTACTGCTATATTTATTACGTGTCCATGTGTGTTTTTCTTATTTTTTTTGTGAGCATTTCCTGGTGTCTAAAGATATAATACAAATATTTTACAGAAAGTTAACCTAGTCAACACATGCTTGATGAAGTTGGATGTGTCGGCCGAAAGGCGCAGATATCGCAGATTTGCTATAAACACGCACAATGCAGCTATATCACAGACAAATGAAAAGAAGAAGATTCAATCATTTAATATATAATTTATTAGTTTTGAATCTGTTGCTGTGTGAATATCAGTCAAGGATATATAAAACACGCTTTTGGGAGGGTGTGAGAGGTAAAAGAGGCAGTAGTAGAAAATCTGTGGTGCGGCGAGCACAACAAAAGGCTTTTGATAAGCAGAAGTAATCACCCTTCAGGAGAATCAGAGTTTTGTTTGTTTGTTTGTTTAATGTCATTTCTCAATCATCTCTCGGTATTTTACCTAAAAACAGTCTAACAGTACAAGCATGTCAGTGCTAGATTAATGCCATTGGTTGTGGGGAGTTATATTTTCACCTGTACTAGGTGTGGAGACATGGACTATCTCCCAGTCCTTAAGAAAGAGAATAGGGGCTTTTGAGCTGAAATGCTTTAGAAAGCTTCTCAGAATATCTTGGACAAAGAAGAGGAGAAATACTGACGTCTTGGAAGATCTGAACATCATGGAAGATTGGCTAATAAACAGCATCCTGTCTCGGAAACTGAAATATTTTGGTCATTTCAAGCGCCACGACGGATTGGAAAAAAATTAAAGCAGAAGGCATGGTACCAGGAAGGAGGGACAGGGGCCGACCAACAGGAAGATGGGCAGAGGATATAAGTGCCTCCTTGAGTATGAAACAACATGAGGTGGGAAAGCTGACGAGAGACTGAGTTTCTTTCAGGCAGACCATGATGAGAGTGACGCTCTGTAAAGGACCTGCTAGGTGTTGATGAAATATTCACTAGTAGCGATTTTTATTTCTTTCAGAAATGGCGAACAGCTCCACCCCATTCCAGTCCAACGCTGTCCGTCCAGTCGATCCTTCTTCAGCAACTGCACAGCAAGCAAGGTAGTTGTCAGTCTGTATAAGCATGGGTGGTCATTGTAGATAGTGGTGTGTACTCTGTTCTTTCTGTGATGGTTTGTACTCCCTGTAGTGGTATGTGCTGTGTGGTGTTGTGTACTCTGTAGTGTGTTGTTGTCTCTGTTCTCTGTGGTGTTGTGTAAATTGTGGTGGGGGTGTGTACTCAGTAGTGGCATTGTGTACTCTAGAGTGTGTTGTCTCAGTGGTGATGTTGTGTACTCTGTAGGGTGTTGTTGTCTCTGTGATGTTGTGTACTCTTTAGTGTGTTGTCTCTGCGATGAAGTAGTTTACTCTGTAGTGTGTTGTTGTCTCTGTTCTCTGTGGTGATGTGTACTCAGTAGTGGCATTGTGTACTCGAGAGTGTGATGACTCAGTGGTTATGTTGTGTTCTCTGTAGTGTGTTGTCTCTGTTTTGTTGTGTACTCTGTAGTGTGTTCTCTATGTGGTGTTATGTGCTCTGTAGTGGTGTGCTGTCTCTGTGGTGTTGTGCACTCTGCAGTGATGTGTTCCTCTGTGTCCGGTGTTGTGTAATCTGTGGTGTTGTACACTCTGCAGTGATGTGTTTCACTGTGTCCGGTGTTGTGTAATGTGTGGTGTTGTACACTCTGCAGTGATGTGTCCCACTGTGTCCGGTGTTGTGTACTCTGAGTGGTGCAATCACCCCAGTCATTGACAGTGCTTTTATGAAATCTTGACTTCGCCAGGATCCGTGCCCACCTTGTATTTAGCCTCTCAAAATGTAGTACATCCATGTTAATTTTTTTTATTATTGGTTATTTCTTTTCTGCAACATCTGTTGTGAAACCTTGTAAAGACTAAAAGAGTTCGTAGAGCATGATGTATTTAATCTGAAGAATCCTATGAAATATACATAGGTTTCCACTAAAGAAGTTGACTCTTATTGAGCTGATGCGAATAACAAAAATTAAAACATTGACTCTTTCACACGAATGGCACATTAGGCATGGTATACTAGACTCAGTTTTTAAAAAGCGATTATCATTCAGTAAGTAATATGATCAGTAACTTGCCAACCGCTTTTACTTCCCAGAATATTTGTTGGTACCCATTTTTGGGTGGGGAGCCAAGGTTATTGACACAGTTATTGCAGATTCAAGCACAAAAACTTCCCACCAGTCAAAAATGCCTAGCCACTGTTGCGCAGTGGCTTTCTGTACAGGTAATGACTGACACTAAAAACATCAGCATTGAAGTTGACAAGGGATATACATATATGGGAGCAAGCATGCGCGCGCATTACGCATGCATGCGCCCATGCGTACACACTCACACCTTCTGCATTCACACACAAAAAAGTAATTGACATAGCATTGGGACTTAAAACAAGGCTGCAAAATCTGTGCCTTTCAGCCCAAGTTATTCTGGCAAATCCCTTGTGAAATATGCATCCTCTTATAATTATCTCTTAAGGAGCTACTGGCTGAATGGTTAATAATACAGGACTGTCACGTGGAAGCCCTGGGTTCGAATCCTCTGTAAGGTTCATGGTTTTTGTCTGTCTAGTGCAAAAATAAAGTCCCTACCTGCACAGATCGAGGTGACAGCACTAGCCATATGGCCCCAAATCCTCATGCTCAGTGACTCCACAACACCCCTTTCCCCACACACACACGCACGCAAGCACAGGTGCGCACATGCACACACACACTGCAGAAGTGGTAAATACAGGTAATAATTGTCAGTTGTTGCTGGGGTTTTGTTTTTTGGTGTGTGTGTGTGTGACAGTTGATCATCTATTGTTTGTGATTCTGTTTTCTAGGTACCAGCAGCAGTCTACCTCACAATCCACATCCACCTCCTTGTTTGGTCTGTCAGACAGCGCCGACAGGGAGGTGATGACAGCCCTGTCTCGACAGTCCAGCACCAGCTCTTTTGATCAGAATTCCCGAGGAGCAGCCTACACCCCTTCCGTTTATTCAGACGAGGAGGACACCGACTCCGACGACTCCAGCACTGTGGACATGGGATGAGTTACTGCAACAGTATTTCTGCGGTCGTTGGGGTTGGATGAATTGTATGAGTGCCATCCGAGTGGATATATTACTGTGGTCACTAAGTATGAGAAATGGTGTGTTTGGTTAGGTGTATGTTGTTTGATAGATGAGGGACAAATCACTGTCATACTTTGCCAGTGTGTTAAGAATGCCTGTTTGTTCCAGTCCATATTTTTATGCAAGAATTTTGAGAAGTTAAAATGGAGATAAAACTAGCAGAATAATTACTGAAAAGTTTTGGGACAGAAAACTATCAAGAAAAAATCAATCCACCTGCAGATAACCAATAAATGTGCGCCCCCCCCCCCCCCCCCCCCATTTAAAACCCTTATTGCCCATGTTAATCTTCACACGCAGAAACTTCCCACTCAGAACCGATTGGACCTCTTACCATATATTAACTATTCTATATGGCCAACACCAGCTATGTACATAATTTACCATATATTATTTTATTTGTTTGTTCGTGGAGAGTTTGTGTGTCTTGAAGTTCGAACCCTTGGCTCCAGGCATCTTTTGGAAGGTACTGGTAAAGTAAAAACATTGTAAAACAAGCATTTCATGTCACTAGCTTTAGTTTGCCTCGGCATGTAGGCTAGCATTTGAATGTAGCATTCTTTGGTTCTAGTTCAGAAGGTGCTTTATTAATATTCTACCCCAAACAGGGGAAATCCAAAGATCACGGGACAGTCTAAAATTTCAGGGGGTGGTAGTATTTTCAAAGCTGCCAAGATCAACCCCAGAGTTGTAATCACATCAGTACTGGGGGTTTGTTTGAGTCTGGACTGCTGCCATAACAGGTGAGTTGACCATAACCACTACACCATCATATCTCAGTTGCCTTGACACACAGATATAAGCAGCACACAAATGATGTGTTGCTGGAGATAAGAGGAGTTAATGTAACAGCTATATATAATAAAAACAATATAATAAAATAGGATCAGAAATGTCTGCTGTCTTTGGGCTAACTAATGAACATGTGATAAGTTGCTTGGTACCCAGAGAGGTATGTAAAGGGGAGATGTTTGTGGATGTTGTTAGATAAAGTGTACAAATAAAACATACTATGTTGTTGTTGGACTGACAAAAACAAATGTTTCTGAACATTGAATTCACGGTAAATGTAACCATGTTCTGGTTATTGCTGGATATGTTGGTAACGTTGGTCTTCCAGAAAGTCAGGCTTCTGCTCATATTTATCATGTGCTGAAGGTCATGTCATAGCTTAGTTTGCAACCATTCTTTTTTCTTTCCGTCTGAACTTTTTGCTTGTTTGTTAATTTCCTCAGTTGGGAAGGAATTATTACATTGTTATAAATACTTATCTGGAACTAAAAGAGAACTTTTAAAAACAGTAAAGTTTATTGCAAGAACTTGGGAGAACATGTTGGCAGATTGGAGAAGATGGTAGCAGATTGGAGAACGTGGTGGCAGATTGGAGAACGTGGTAGCAGATTGGAGAACGTGGTAGCAGATTGGAGAACATGGTGGCAGATTGGAGAACATGGTGACAGATTGGAGAACATGGTGACAGATTGGAGAACATGGTAGCAGTCTAAAGAAACATAGTGGCTGAGTGGAGAATGGCAGATGGAGAACATGGTAGCAGTCTAAAGAAACATGGTGGCAGTCAGAGAACATGGTGGCGAATTGGAGAACATGGTGGCAGTCTAAAGAACATGGTGGCAGATTGGAGAACTTTTTGGCAGATGGATAATTTTTGAGGGCAGATTGGAGAACATTGTAGCAGACTGGAGAACTTTGTGGCATTTTGGAGTACATTGCGGCAGAGGTTTAAAACCAGTTTTGCAGGAACATCTCAAGACTGGAACAGGGGTCTGCATAATAACAAGTTGAGAACACCTAAGGTGACAAATACATCATTTGATTTTTGTAATAAAAATTGTACTAAGCCTTACACAGATTTGGATATTTGCCTGTATATTTTGTAGTTCACTTAACTTGATGTATTGAGAATATGTCTGGTTGTTTGTAACTTTTAAATATAAAGCTTATACTCTTCTTGTATTTTCTTCACTTTATCTGTCCGATGTTTCTGTAACCATTTCTATCCCCGGCAGTTACTGCTTGAAGATATTTCCATGGACCAAAATGAGTGAAGTGTGAACTGTCTGGGATAGGGTTGAAGAGGAGGTAAAATAACAGCTAGGACTACATGAGTTAATGTAGCAGGGACAAGGTAGTAATGTATTCGGTCCTTACATCTGTGAATTCAGCCCTAATAGAGAACTAGATTATCTGATATTGGAATCACACAGTCATTTACACTAATGGTTTTGCTTTCAGATTGCATTTTTAGAAGAAAGAAGAAAAAAGGACTTTAAATGTCAGATTTTGTATTTTAGAAACAAAAAATTATGTACCCAAAAGTAATGAAAATATAATGTAAGATTTTTATTTTGAGGTGGCAATTTTTCTTGTAACTTTTTGTTTACCAAATGAAAAGACGAGGTGTAGCAGTGTTTTGATGTAGTTTTGTACAGATTTATCGGCACCCGCTTTTTTCTTAGATATTCTTTTAGAATGTACATTTATTGTATGCAAGGAAAACAAATAATTGATGACATTGTTAGTTCCTGTCAGAATATAGATTTATTGTGTGACGGTTAAACAAATTGATGTTGTTCATTTCTGTCGGAATTTTCAAACTTGCAGTCCATTGCATTTGACCGACAGAGGCGGAGGGAACTGATTGATCAGTCAACAGCAGCTGATGACCTGTAGACACCAAGTGTTGTTTGATTATGATGCTGAAGATAACCCAAGCAGACACATTAAGTTGCAATAAGGACCTATATAACAGACTAGAAGAATGCTACTCCCTCCGAGACCAGATAGGTGGAACACCTTGTATTGAGGAAAAGAACAGCTTGTGAAAACATGTAAATTCCACAACATGGCATTGGGCCAAAGGGCTCATGCGCCGCTGGATCAATAACAACAGATTTGAGGACAGTAGCTCCAGAAGAATGACAACAGTCAGGGGCAAGGGAGAACTTGAAGTCCTTTAAGTGTGTAGAGTAGCTGACAAGTGGATGCATAGTGTGTTGCTGGCTATAGAAGCTCAGCATGAAGGAGGACGGCTATTGCTACAACTTGTCTGCTAAATAGAAACTGACTTTATAAATAGTCATATAGTTCCTGTAACTGTCAGACAATGCCATTACTAGCTCTTTACCACTTAGGTGATGTAGGCAGGGAACTTTGATTGAGCCTGAGGATTTGGGGCTGCACTGCTAGTGCAGTCACCATGAAGTTTGTCGATTATAATTTTATTTTTGTCCCTGACAGAGATTGCCTATAACCTCACTGAGGATTTGAACCTGGATCCCCTGCTTGAAATCCCAGCCGCCCGCTCCTCTTTGTTTCTGTAACTAATTTTTCCATTATTAACTCACCAGCACCTGCCCCACCCCAAACTTGACTGCAGCCTGGGCCTTCACCGCTAGACAGTGTGTGTGTGGACGTGCAGTGGTAGATGAGACCAATGTTGCCACAGTGAATGAGGTGTCAGTGAGCAGATTTTGATATTAAAATCCATTACACACAATGGATAGTGCCTTCTGAGAAAAAGATTGGACTGTTTGTTATGCAATTATTGTATCGGGGGTTGTACATATAATAATTTTCTCATGAACAGATGTTGGGAGATGAAGACTTGAAATTATAAGTACCTGGCTACTTTTGTATTACCAGCCAGTAGCTGTCATCAAGGTATTTTAAACTATGTTAAACGTGGTGGTGGCCTAGGAGAGAGCAGTGACGGAGGGTACAATTTTCCCCAAAATATCAGGCATTCGCAGACTTGTGCGAAGGTGGATACAAGACACTGAAGATACTTTTGGCTATGGAAGCACATAAAAATGAGTCTTGTCATCATCAAGTGCCAGTTGATAGCAAACCGTGCTTCTCTATCTCATATTTTCTAGAAATGTATTAGTCTGTGTATCAGTCTCTCTTTCGGGGGGGGGGGGGGGGGGGGATTTCCTCTATAATGTAGTGTGGTGAAGTTTTCCTCACACTTTGCAGTTGTGTCATTCATTTTAGGGGTGCAGTTATTAAGGAGATCCCTGGGGGTTATTGCTGGAGCTACAATGTTCGTGCTGCATATCATTTAAGTTAAGGTGACTGAAGAAAAATTAAGCCATATTAAAAACCTGGTGCAAATAGTGGATCCTTTTAGTCTCTTCTGCATGCAAATGGTTTATATTGGTTTTTTTCCTTTAACTCTCGACAAGTGTTCACTGTAAGCGTGTGGCTAAGTAATCTGGGTATTGCAGCTGTACACTTGATATGGCTTGAGGAAGTGATCCTACACACGTGCCCCCCACCTCCATCACAATAAAGTGCATTTGTTCTGCCTGAAGCTATGCAGTACCACTTTAGAGAACACACCCACTGCTCCAGCATTAAGCCTGTCATAAATGACAACATTAAAGATTTGTTGAAATCGAATATATTGAGCTAAAAAGCTCAGATATCACAGCCTAGCTGTAAACCGCAATATGTTTCAGCCACCCTTCTAAAAATGAATACAGAAGCAAGATGGACATTTTAGCAGATAAACGTGCCCAGGCTCATGGCACAGAATCTTACCATGTTGATAGTGATTTTTATTTAACAAAGTATGTATTTGAAACAATTATTTACAAATGTACTGCATTTTTTAAGAATTTGTGTCACACTTTGTACAATAAATAGCAATGTTTAATTGACTAGTAACAGATTTTGGGTACACATTGTCGTGTGAAAAATTGTTGATTTAATGTGCGACTCAGGAGAATTGGACTTTTATGCATTATATTTGAGAATGACTTGTTTATTTCTGGAAGTGATTTGTAGTTCATTGTCTGTTGTTTGCTATGTCAGTTTTAAGCTTTGTTACTGTAGGCATATGGAATTCCTTGGAGAGAAACTCAATAAATCAGTTTTTCGTATTCCTGTAGCAATCA